TGTGCCAGTGTGTATGAATCTGACACACAGATACACACTGGCAGATAGTGGCACACAGATACACACACCTTGACACACACTGTATATGTATGTATCTGTGTGTCAGGGTGTGTATCTGTTTGCATGTGCCGGTGTGTGTATATCTGTGTTTGTATGCGCCAGTGTGTGTATCTCTGTGTCAGTGTGTATATTCATCTGGCACACAGATGCACACACTCAGATACACCCATTTTGACTCACAAATACAGTGACATACACACACTTGCACCCACAGATACACACTGACACACTCAGATACACACGCAGGCACTTAGATGCACGCAGTGATGCATACACAAACCTTGACACAGATACACTCTTTGACAGACACACACACTCTTTGACAGACACACATACAAACACATATACACTCTCACTGACAAGAACAGATACATTCTCACTGACAAACACACTCATTGACAAGCACACATTTACTCTCACTGACAAACACACAAACACATACAAGCTACCTAACAGACACACATACAATTTATTTATTTTTAACATTTTACTCCACCCAGCCCCCTACCTTTAAGAGTGCTGGCATGGAGTCCCTGTGGTCCAGTGGCTCTGCTGGGTTACTGGAGAGCAGTCCCTGGGGTCCAGTGGGGCTGCTGAGCGGCTGGCGTGCGGGCGATGATGGAGCAGTGATCTTCCTGCTCAGCTCCCTTGCGCGCCTCTTAGTGATGCCGGAGCCGGAGTGACGTCATATTCCGGCTCTGGCACCACTGCTGTGCACACAAGGGAAGTGAGCAGGGAGATCACTGCTCACTCGCCGCCCACGCCCATTTTGTTTTCAATTATTTTGGCAAACCCCAATCAGTGTTCCTCAGAACTCTAGGGTTCCGCGGAACACCAATTGGGAAACACTGTTTTATAACATACTTTCACCTTGGGTCAGACAGTGTTTGAAAAATGACAGGCTCTATGGTCTTCCCGGCTTCACTCTCTGCACAGTGCAATGACATTATCAGACCCAATGACTGCCGGTTTTCAAACACTGCCTGACCCACGGTGTATGTCTATGGCTGAAGGATCCTATCATATAGTAAAGGGAGGGATGAGTGTTGACATATACTAAATTTAACAAAGAATCCATTATCTCTAAAACTCGATGAAAGTATGATTTTATTAGAAAGTAGTTTTGAGTTG